TACTAACAAAAGTCAAAAACAAGTTTCCTAGATGGGAATCATCAATCATCATCTCCCAAATCCAAGTCTTCTTTTTTTTATCATTTTCACTACTATTACAGCTGTCAATTTTATTTTTAGAAATTGAAGTCCCAAAAAAGTCATGATGTCTCTGTTCAGAGGGCTTTTTTTGGAATCAACACAAAAATAGTGGGAGGGAGCCACTCGACAACTATAATGTGCTATTTAAAACCATGCTTGGTACTATATATATATTTGTGTGCGTGTGTAGTAACTCGATATAATACACTTCATAATTAGTTCCCTGTTAACAGACATGACAAAAACAATATCGAACATAGTTTACAATTCTATAAGCCAACAATTCACATCAGGTGATAAACTGCAGATGACTTTTAATCATCCAACAATACACAAATCATACAATTCAATGATTTATTATTTTTTCTTGTTTGAATTTCTTTCACCAATTCTCATCAAAAACATTGAAAAGTTAGATAAACTTAAACTGTTTAATGTATAGAACTTGGAGAACTATTGCATGCACCCTATTTGATTATTCCACTGCTTTATTTTCAATCTTCTAAAACAAGTGTTTTTCATAATCACTCACTTAGTCTGTAGTCTGTACACTATTTGGCTATTCCATTGCATTCTTCTGAATTTGAGGCTTCACACACTTGTTTATGACTTATTATTTTGTGTTGCGAGACTTATGGTTGAGTTATTTTGTCAATTTCTAGTTTAAAATTGTTACATTGAGCACGAAACATCCTTTATATGAAATATTTCAAAGTTCAAACTATTTTTTTGGTTGTCTCAAAATCTTAAGATTCAATAAAATTTATGATTTACTACTCATGATTAAAAAATCACCTTGACGATTCACAATTTTAATTGCAATTTGATAGCTTGGTATGAAGTACATTTATAGCTGATGAGACAATACTAAAACTGACCTCAGCAGAAACCTTTCGCTTGTCCACATAAATGAAAGCAGAATTGGATGTCACAATAGCAAATGCATGAACAACAGGACAGTAGGCCACATCACTTCCACGAATATTATACAACCATGCAACCTGTATTGTAGCCACATTATTGAAAATAAAGTGAAAAACAAAGAAAATAGTCTTAAAACAGATGAATAAGAGTGGCAGAAAATATCCTTGAATTCAGAGAATAATTGTCAAGGGAAAAGAAATTAAAAGGATAGCTAGCAAGAAGATGCACTTACTTCATCAAGCGCTGTGAAAATTATCCCACGGGCTTGCTCCTGTAAAAGTTTTTTTCTCAAATCTTTCAACTTATCTGCAACAGAGCGACCTGCAAATTTCAGTGGATGTGCAATAACAGCATTAATCTCTTCTGGTGGGCGATTTATCCAAACTTCATCTACCAAATTTTTTGTGGTTTGAACCAGCTTCTGCTGTTTTTCGGCAAAAGCACGCTCCCATCTTTGGGCAGTATCAATTGAAATGCACCAAGGGTCAACCCCAATGGAAGCCTCTTTTGGCAAATTCTAGTGAAAGGAAATGACTCATTAGTACATATATCCCACAGTAAAATCACAGATACAGTCTTAGCATGTGACATGAATAGAAAATGGACCACTTAGAAGCAATTCATGGATGTAGCAAGACTAATCCAGTATATTGTCCTCATTCATAAGGGTAAGTTTAGGTTTTAGCTTTATGAACATGAATTGAAAATTTCTAACAGTATCATTCCTATTTTCATTTCTATCTTCTAGAGTGTTTACATTTTCTTGTTTCTACCTATCACTAGTTCTGTTCCAAAACCTTCTTTTCTCTCTTTAATATGTTAACGGCGCTAAGGCTTGTACAAGCTCAGTCAGCTTTTCCTGAACAAGGAGAAGCTACTCCCTAACAAGATATCAATAATGCAGAGATGTAGACAGAGTGATTCTTTATTCAAACCGTAATACTATGCTTTGGTGAGTCCAATCAAAGAAAACCATATTAAAAGAATTATAAGCTAAAATTTTGGAATTCAATTTAATATGCATCAATGAAATATGTTTGCGTGTGTGTATGTGTGTGTGTATATATATATAATTATATATAAAATAATGCTATTCACTAGCAGGCCACTCACATCAGCCATCCAGGTATCTACAGCAGGATCTTCACCAATTCGCATTAGCTTCCACTGATCACTAAGTTCTTGTTCAGCCTGCAAAAAATATCGCCCATCGGTCCACAGCAGTGCTTCATTCTTTGTTATAAGGGCCAAGCCTGCATGTCGTTTAAAAAAATGAAAATACGACACAAAAAGACACCTGGCTGATTTCATCATGTTTGAAATACATAAAGACCATGACTTAGCTGTATAGCAAACAACAAATACAAGTAGAAACTTCAACAACAGACTCGCCGTGCATCTAATATCACGGATTAACCCTCAAAACATAAAATCCCCATCCATTGACTAGTGCACGGTCCACGCAACCAATATCAACCATGGAAATGAATTACGGTGTAACAAAAACTCCAACCCCTAGTCTTTTTATTTATTTATTTATTAAGAGCAGGCCACATCCTAGCAACAAACCATAATCGTTTTTCAAAATTTTAGAATCAATTCTTATTTCCACAGGAACCAAATATTAATACAGGAAATAGTGAAATGCTGAAACAATTGCAGTAAAACGCGAAAACAGGAGGCAGCCTAAATCCTAAGCTGATGGATGCTATAATCAAGGAACAAACCAGAATGAAAATGCATCGAAGAAAATTTTCAAAACAGAACTGACCAGCACTTCCGGTGAAGCCGGAAACGAATTGGCGGCGCATGTCTCGTGCAGATACGTATTCGCTCTAGAAAGTGTAAATACAATCGCAGAAGAGATATCAGGTTAAATAAAAAAGATCGATGGAATTAGAGAAAATAATTGAAAAAGGTGAATACGTTCGATCTACCTAATATTACTGAGATGAGGCAGAAAAGACGATGTACCTGGTGATAATCTTCGGAGGGAACGACTAAGGCATCAAGCGGGGGAGAGTGAGAAGCCATCAAAGACCTCAACTTCGAAAGCGTGTCTTCCATTTCCTTTCGTTCTATTTTCTCAGTCTCGCCACTTTGCTTTTACTTAAAAATTGTAACTCTGATCTACTTATATAGAGAACGTTAACGCCTCGAATCCACGCCAACAGTATATTCACGATGTGTTTATGCCGTTATTAAGCCCTTTTCTATTTATTTTTTAATTTAAATTTTACAGTTTTATTAAGTTTCTTCATAAATTATTTTAAAAAATACAGTAGTATTTTAACCTAATAAATGTATGATGTAAATTAATTTTTACTTATAAGACTAATATTACTAAGATCATATTAAAGAAATCAAGAGTCACTATTAAAATTCCTTTTTAGTGATTCTCCAATTCATTTCACGAACATTACAAAGAAATATATGGTTAAGAATTAATGGTGCAATCAATCTAAATTATAAAATTTAAAATAGTGTAGATCATGGACATAGATTAAAAAAATAAAAAATAAAAACTAAACTCTAAGCTTTGGAACTATTGCTCTCACAATTATGTTGTTCCACTCCAATAGTTGTGAGGAAGAGAGTTAGTTATATGCATGCAATACAAGCCAAACTCCGTTATCACCTGTAAATGTAATGATTCTCATGAGATGCAAAAACTCTTCTCACCAAGGACCTTAGGCAAGAAGACAAGAATAATCAAGAGCAAAGCATATGATATTTTTTTTATGTGAACCATAGATTTGGTATTGGGGTTGACATAATACGATAAATTCTAAACGAAATTGGATCTTCACCCAATCCAGCGTTAGTTACTATTGGGCCTTTTATCGATTGGGCTAGTCCAGAATTGCATAAAAGATGGAATAATACCTATTGTAGAAAAAAAATGGTAAAGTCTCGCTTTCGTTAACTTATATATGCACGGAGAAGGTTAGTTCCGCATCAGAGGATAGATCAGGTACTCACGTAAAAGGATTGTCCTATCACTAGAGGTAGAGGAAGAGGAAGAATAATAAAAATCATAGATAAAACCATTAAGTGCATGTTTATTTCTGCCACGAATTACAAATAACTCTGCATCAGAATGAAGAATTTTACGATTCAAAGAATTTTAAATTCTTGATATTTAAATTACTTTGATTTCAATTTCTATCATTCTTAAAATATTTTGTTTGGACAAGTCAATTCAAATTTCTCAAATTTTAAATTGTTAGGTTGGATATGATAATTTGACTCCACCATTATAAAATTGATTTTAAAAATATATTTATATATTAAAAATTTTAAATTAAATTTTATAAAAATAAATATTAGCTAATTTTTAAATATTTAATAATTTTAAAAATTAATATTAGATAATATTTAATAATTTTTAAATTTTTTTTGAATATTTAATAATTAAAAACATGAAGAGATAAGAGATAAAATAAAATATATAAGTGAAATAAGAAGAAGAAAATATGAGGAATTTCAAATTCTTACTCTTTTAGGAGAATTTGAAATTCTACTATTCCAAAGAATTTCACAAATGCTTAAATTTCAAATTTCTTATAAATTTCTCATCCAAACAAGGTATTTCACCTCAAAGAATTTAAAATTCTTCAAATAAATGAATTACTCTATTTAAATTCTCCATCCAAACACACTATAAGTGTATATTTGATGTTTACATGATCTGACCCATTTTTTTTTTTTAATGTGTTATCAATGCGTGGTCAATAAGAAGGATTCAAAAGCCAATCATTTGTCTGTCTGGATATCCTGGTTACATGAAAAAAAGGCACTTGTTGATATTATAGTTGATAGTAAATTAGTACTCCGATTCTTTATATAAAAAATAAATGATTTTCATAATAATATCATACAATTAAATTTTATTCAAAAAATACTCATTAAACATCCATTAGATGTAAACAAATTAAAAGCCGATACAGTCATTATTTTTCAATCTAACCAACAATTGATTTCACAATCACGAATTTAAAGCCATTTTATTATTCAAGTCATAATAATACACACTCATGAATAAAGACACACAGAAAGAAACGGGAACACAAAAATACACAAATTCACAATTTTATTTGACGTAAATTTATCAACATCTACAGCTTCCAGAAACAGGGCAAAACCCAGAACAACATCGGAATCCCCAACCCCAACAGAATTGATAATGCAACAGAGCTTTCATTCCTCGTCACAAACAATGGTAAAATGCCAGAACCAATTTGACAACAAATAAGATCAAAAAATACAGATGACCCACAAGAATAGAATGAATGAAGAAGAAAACACGATCATGACTGGGCGAGCCTCTTGACTACAATAGCCATATACTTGCCCTGATGCTCTGCAAGAGCCAGCTCTGTTTCACTTGGCTCTCTTGTGCCATCACCAGCAAACACTCCTGCACCATATGGAGAACCCCCTCTAATGGAGTCCATCTTGAACATTCCGGGTCCAAATGTATATCCAACAGGAACAAAAAGCATTCCATGATGTGCCAGCTGAGTGATTGCCGTCCAACTGCAATATAAAGCACAAAACTAAGTTTTCAATATTTCCATTCTAATTTCCATCACGAGGTGTAATAAAATCCTTGTTTTTGAAAATGTAGAGAAGAATATGTGACATCTTTAGATTTCAAACTGCATATATTACACATTCAATTCTGCCACTTTGGCTTATTTGCTTGTCTGCTAGAGCTTAAAGTTACTTTATCAGCATAAAAGAACATCTTCCAAATGAATAGATAGGATTTAAAAATTTGTACTCTTGCTCTACCGAAAACTCACAAAAAAGAGAAGGTTTCCCAGCTGTGGTTATCCCTCAACACGCCCTGAACATTACCCCTGAACTCGTGTAATAACCATCCTTTGAATTTAGATATCCCCCACAGATTATAACTGAAATTTTTGTGTGTTGGTACTAGGTAATCTAATAACATGTAGCACACACGAACTCAAAAACACATTGGAACTTTCTAAAGTCATATTTACAAATTAATTAAAGCAGGTATGAAATTTAGTATCATAATGGTTAAATCAGTTGAATACTCAAAGATAGAGGCATTTTCAAATTTTACCATAATGTTCTGCAATCAAATCAATGATACATCAATTTTTTTTGTCTTGCCAAAGGTATTTCTAATCTATTGGGCTAAAGACTAAATCATGTTAGCAGTACAGGGATTGCTGCTAACTCGAAGGATTTTGCCGTAAGATAGGATTTAAAACGGATTTTCCATCAAATAGATTGCCCAACAGTATGTGAGAACAGAGTCTACACATTGGGTTAGACATGAACTAAAACAATGTATAGAAAAACATTCTACTCACATTGGATCTGTAAAATCAAAACGATGCATGCTAACAATTAAGTTCCAAATTGAACTGACATTCACAAACCAAGATTGCCAAATGCAGATAACGAGCGGGTGGCAAGAAAAGAATCGAAAAAAAAAAAAGTCTTACGCAGTAGTTTCTTGTCCTCCTCCTTGAGTCCCAGTACTCACAAAGAACCCTGCGGGCTTCCCCGCAAGCTTCTGCTCCTTCCACAAGTGGCCGGTGGAGTCAAAGAAAGCCTTCATCTGCGCCGCCATCGACCCGTACCTCGTGGGGAACCCAAAGAGCACCCCATCGGCGGCCGCCAACTCCGCCGCCGTAATCTCCGGTATTGTCTCGTCCTTGGGCGGCGCCCTCATCTGATTCAACACCTCAATCGGCAATGTCTCCGGAACCCTATACAAAACCCCTTCCACACCCTCCACGCCGTCCACGCCTCTCTTCAACCTCTTCGCCAGCCCCTCCACGTGTCCGTACATCGAGTAGAACACAATGAAGATCTTCAGTTTGGCACCGCGCGAGAGCGCCGAAGACGACGTGGTCGCTCCTTGCGCTGGCGCGTGGGAGTCCTCCGGGGCAGAGATCGAGGCCGCCCTGGAGGCTCCGGCGGGTTCCGTGGGAGCATCGTCGGCGACCGGCGGGGGCTTCTTCTTGCTGGGAACGCAGCCTCCACCTTTCCCCATCAAATTGGGAATGTGGAATTAGAATCGGAGAATGTGGCTTAACCTAAATAGTGAGAATTTTGGGAAGTGAAATGGAATGGAAGCATCCAAGTAGGACTGAGATTTCAGAATTTCAGACTTGTTTTGAGTATCTTCGAATGATTGGTGATGTCATTCAAATAAAAGGAAGGAAGGACACGTCCCCCAACCTAATCGAAACGACGACGTCGCTCCTCTCGTATGACAAATACGTTAGCTTAATGCCTTCGTTTCTTACATCCCACTCACTCTCTCACTCTCATACGACAAACCGCGTCACTTGTTTCTTCTTCTTCTTTTTTTTTTTTTTATAAAAAAAAAATAAATCTAGAAAGGGTGGGTTGGTTAATGAGAAAAAGGAGAAATTCTCGTATTATGGAAGACAGGGGAATGCCAATTGCAACTTCTAGAAGTAATTGACAATTTGATAGCCTCACTGAATACAGTTTTGATTTGTGATAAATTCACGTTAAAATTTGTTGAAAATTTTCAACTTGTACGTATGTTTCATTTTCTATACACCAACTTTTCCATGATCTATGGTTTTCAATGTAAGTATAGTATAATACACTTTTAATCTTTGTATAATTAGCTTTTAATCTAATCAACTTATATACATATCTTTCATTACAATATAAATAAAGTAGAATAGAAGGAAAAATAAAAATTTATAAAATACATAAATATTTTAGTGATTGAAAAGTTTTTTTGGATGATAATTAAAAATAAAATTGTAAAGGTTTAATTTAAAGTTGATAATATCTTATTTTATCAATGTGAAGTTGTGTGTACAAATATTTTAATAAAAAATAACAAGATATAATATTCTTTTCTTAATATAATATATTCTTTCAAAGATAAATACTATAAATAACTCTAACAATGATATAAGAACTAACTTTTGTTGAATGATAAGTTAAATCCTTTGTTTAAGAGAAAGATTATTATAATACAAAGAAGATCTCACATTGATAGTTTGGATGATAATCAAAAATAAAATTGTGAGGGTTTAATCTAAAGTTGATAATATCTTACCTTATTAATGTGAAATTGTGTGTGCAAATAGCTTGATAAAAAAATAAAAGTATATAACATTCTTTTCTTGATATAATATATTTTTTCAAAGAAAAATATCATAAATAACTCTAATAGTGATATCAGGGTTAACCCATAAATATCTTCTCTTGTTAAATTGTAAGTTAGATCTCTTATTTAAGGTAAAGATTGTTAAGATACAAAGAAGATCTCACATTGATAAATTTAACCCATACAAACAAATGATAATAACAAAAAAATGCAATGTCAAGACAAATTCTTCTAAATGAAAAGTTAGTTTCTTACAAACAAGATAAATGATTTTTAAGGAAAATGATTTTTAAGATACAAACAAGATTTTACATCAATTCTGTTGAATGAAAAGTTATCTTTTATTTGAGAGAATTTTTTTTGAAATATAAACTAGATATCATATCGTTAAAAACAAAAGAAGAAGTAAAAGTCTTTTGGATGATAAATAAAAACAAAACTGTGAGATTTAACATAATATCTTATCAATATAGAGTTGTATACGAAAATATCCTAATAAGAAATAAAAAGATATAACTCTCACCTCTTAATATAAATATATTCTTTCAAAAATAAATATTACAAATAACCGTAATACTCCCACTCTCTCTTTTATAGTAGTTATGTAATGGTTAATTGAGATTGTAAGTCCTTAGTTTATTCTATTTTTTTTTTTAGTAAAAAATAAGTGATACTCAAAGTTTTATAGTAGTTATGTAATGGTTAATTGAGATTGTAAGTCCTTAGTTTATTCTATTTTTTTTTTAGTAAAAAATAAGTGATACTCAAAGTTTTATAGTAGTTATGTAATGGTTAATTGAGATTGTAAGTCCTTAATTTATTCTTTTTTTTTTTTAGTAAAAAATAAGTGATACTCAAAGTTTTATAGTAGTTATGTAATGGTTAATTGAGATTGTAAGTCCTTAGTTTATTCTATTTTTTTTTTAGTAAAAAATAAGTGATACTCAAAGTTTTATAGTAGTTATGTAATGGTTAATTGAGATTGTAAGTCCTTAATTTATTCTTTTTTTTTTTTAGTAAAAAATAAGTGATACTCAAAGTTTTATAGTAGTTATGTAATGGTTAATTGAGATTGTAAGTCCTTAGTTTATTCTATTTTTTTATTTAGTAAAAAATAAGTGATACTCAATGTTGGAGTAGCTATTTTAATCATGGTTGCCAAATTCTTCTTCTTCTTCTTTTTTATGTATATATGTTAGTGTGGAAAATTAAAACATACAGTGTTAGAGAATTAAAGAAGTCAGTAGGAGACTAGAGACAACATTTGAAGGGATGTATTTCCGTCAGGATTGAAAAGAAAGATCGTGCTAAAGAATAAGAATATACCATGAGAAAACTTTAAATTTTTTGTCTCAACTAAATTAGTTCAAGAAGAGATTGGAGATTTATAATGAATAAAGTATTTTGAGATCTCTGAAAAATGAACGATTTCATTATCAAATATTATTTTTGAGTCAACATAATTTTTTGTGTAAAGTATATCGATAACTCAAGTGGTCCATTATTTGATAGAATTATATATTGTAGTGTTGGGGGATTGGACAAGAGTACAATGCTGCAACTTAAACCAAACAAAGAAGGTTCATGACAGAGGAAATGTTCCTTGGTTGGCCCCTCCTACGGGCTACATAAAATTGTAGTATTCCAACTTCTTTTTAATACACAACAAAAGACAAGCTTCAGTACTGCTTCAGAATGTGTCCCACAATGATAGAGAAAAATTTTGTTGGCTAAAATTGCTTGGATCGACGCCGTCTTAATTGTTGCAATTCACTGGATCATAGCTATTCCTGAGAATGTATAAAGACATTTTTAAGATAGAGTATACATAAAATGGTAGTAGATAGTATCTTTCAACCAAATGATGATGCTTTGAGTGTGGAGACATTTTTGCATATTGCAAGCAATTTACCACTTTAAATCTAAACTTTAGAATTAATTTTATAAGGTTATAATGACTGATGAGCTAATGTTGCTGCTCATTTTCTAACAAAAAGTGGCTACATCTAAGGCTGGTCCCAATTTTTATTATCGTGTCCCAACTTGTATTGATGCTTCTATTGCTATGAAAATGATATAATTATGTTTCTCTAAAAAAGAAGTATAAATTTAAGTAGACTATCACATGTAGGTTTGCATTTATTTAAATGGATCGAAATTTTAATTCGCACACCATATCCCGTATGCACGCTTTCAAATATTTGTTTCATAGGCTAGTTTAAAACTAGTTTTTCTTTAATAACTTTAAAGTAGCTATATATTTTAATTTTTTTTATACAGATTGGTATTTAAGTCAATAAAATAAACCATTCAACTCGTGGATTTCATATGTTAATTTGTATAGTTGTATATGCCTGCTGGTAACACACCAAAACTTCACCTATACAATCACTATATATATACACCCACAAGCCTTTGTGTACTACGAGTTGAATGTATTAGTTTCATCATTTCAAAATATTTAAAATATACTGATCTATATACAATCACAATGCATATTTTAATTCTCAACTGTACTCCTTGATTAACTGAAGTTGATTCAAGCATCATCTGAGCCAATAATGAAAGAAGGTTGCCTTCGTCATTGTAACCATCTAACAGAGGCCCACAACCTTTTGTGCCTTGTACATAAAAGTTTTAGAAGCTTTTGTTTTATAATCTGGCTCCAACTTGGTTATATGGTTTATAACAGATTCCATGCAGTGTTTAGCTGAACCCATTATTGGTTTTGTGGGAAGCCCGGCCCAATATTTTTTGTCTGCTTTCCGAGTTATGACTTTATACTAAGGCATGCCCTGGTACCCGTTTTGTGTCTCTCAACCCAAATAAGAGATCACAATAACTATTCTAGTCATTGACATGTATTTATATGCCCCAACCAGCACTTAAAATATTATATTTATCAGTTCGAGCTAAAAAATAAAACTACAGAAAACAATATTCAATCTCTTGTGAATGATATTTATGAAGTAATTTATCTCCTCTGTGGATGAAGGCAAATTAAGGTATCTATGAGTGAACAAATGAGTCGGTTGCATACTGGAAGCCATTGCGATATAACCTATGCCACCATTCCCCTCCCCACAGCTGCTGAATGTTTTCATAGATGTGAAAGGAGTTATATATATTACGTTAACATTTTTTTTAGGCCACATTATAATTTAGATTTATGTTTTTCCAAATCGATAGTTAAAAAATTAAAATGCATCCATTTTGTGCACCCAAACTATGAAGGAGCATGATATATAGAATTAGAGAGTGACTCAAGCTTGTACAATAATTTAATTTCTTATTAGTAACCTTTATTATAACAGTTTCAACATGTCATTAGGGTTTTATCTAATAATATTTGGGCCATCTTCTTGTTTTTATCATTCCTATAGCAAAATAAATAAATAATCATCTTAGAAATCAATTAGCTTTAAGAATCTCAAGAAGATATATATGTTCGTACATGCATGTGTGCACTTTGATCATGAACATTATCTATCTATCTATTTTTATTTATTTATATATATATATATATATATATATATATATATATATATATAATCTATTTGGACTTTAAGTTACGTATAACTAAGGCCTATGCCATAATTCAATATCACCGAATGGATTTAATTCAATAAACATATATTATTATGATTACCAAATTCATAATCACTTATCATGTATAGATTTCTATGGAATTCAACATCATATTTCATCATAATCAAAATTATTTGATGTGCTCTTCTTTGTGGATTGATTTACATAATTTAGCAACATTGTCTTTCGGCCTTAATTCACCCACTTGCATTTTTTAGGTACGACATCATAACGTGTGACCTTATTTCCTACGCTGTTTGATCTCCTATATATTGCCCTATCCGTTTCAAAGTCTCACCTTCACGTATTTCCTTAGAAGTCTGCATAGAATATGTGTCCACATGTGTTCCACGTATCGCAGTAAACACAAGAAAAGTCTTACATGACTTGTCATGTTACCGTAGGTGTAGGTTCTTTATTTTCTTTTTCTTTCTTTCTTTAAGTAAGTTTGTTTTTGCGAAATGCATGTGATCCTTATTTGGGTTTTCTTAACCATAAAATATATCTTTCGATGAAGCTCAAAGGATATTAAAATTAT